TTGCGAAAAGTTGCTGTCCCAAGAACATGAATCAGCCATTTTTGCTGCAAAACCACGGATATTCACAGACCTACAAAAGTCCACCCAAGTCCCGGGCCGCTGGGCTCTGCAGTGGGCTGCTGTGGCTCCACAGCCTTCTTCGCCGGCTTCGCTGGAGCCCGGCCCACGAGGGATCCCAGCGGCGGGAGGGCCGCTGCTCGCAAGGCAAGGTGCAGGGCCAAGTCGTAGGGAGGCCTCAGCAAAGCTTGGCTTCAGACGGGTTCGCATGCTCAGGGAGGTGTCGGTGTTGCACGAAAGTTGGGCACCAAAAAACGGTACTCCAACGTGACAGACTGTATGGATAGGTTCATGCCAGTCAGGGCTTGCAGCTGGGGTCTAACCTTCTTCCATAACAAGGCCAAAGCCAAGTCAAATGCGGGGTGTACCGAGAATCTTGGGCGGCACAACGCCTCTGCATAAACCCAAGAACCCTGAACTTAAACTGCTGGTGCGAACCAGCAGCCTGCACCGGACGACCCAGACATGTCTCACACAAATGAGAATTCACCGTTTAAACACCAAGTGCACTACTCCAGCTTCTCGCAATTCCTGTCCATCTGGGTGGAGATTACTCGGGCTCGTCCTTTGTCCGCTGGAGTTTTTACCAGAACAACAGGAAAACACTCAACCTGAGGGGCATTCAAAGATGTGCGCTCAACTATATTTATTCTCAGAACTAACCCGAAAGCGAACACCAACCCAGCGGGTGGAACCGGCGGGACGCAACCATAATGTGATGCCAGGCCATCTCATCATGGGCACCATGTTGCAGGGCCCCCGCCAAAACATGGGCCATGGGCAGGGTGGCATGTGCGGCATGATGTCTGGGGGAACCTGGGCACTTCTTCTGGGCTCCATGTTCAGCATCCACGCAAGCTCTTCGAAAACTTTGAGCTCGTGGCAGGCGCATCCGCACCAGGAGCTGTGTACACCTGCTGGTAGCTTGGAAGCTACACACGACATCACCCTCAGAGAAACGACACCTCGGTCGCCTCGGTCTCGTTCTCCTCGGTCTCGTTCTCCTTCACGGACGTTGAGGGACAAGGAAAGGTGGCTGCTCAGACTCAATGTGTGGTCAAAGCGGGTGAAGGGCGGGGGAAAGTCCTGAGACAATGTCCCCCCCTCCCTTCTCTTGCTCCCTCTCTGCTCCCTCTCTGCTCCCTCTCGCGGCTCCCTTGGCTCCTCCGTGGGGACAGCGCGGTCACCCTGCCAAGAAAACGAAGACGAAGACTAAGTGACAGGGAGAGAGAGGGAGAGAGAGAGAGAGAGAGAGAGAGTCTCAAAGAGTCTCCCTTGAAAAAACCACAAAAAGTGTCTTCCTCTACCTCTTTCTTTAGAAACAACTGCGCTCTCCGTCTCCAACATTATGTCTGAGGGTAGAGGCTGAGGCCGGCTCCAGCGGAAGCTTCAAAGGCTCATCCAACTGCAGAGGCGCAAAGTCTTGGGACTCTTTGAGGGGGTCCTGAAGCTTCGGCATGGCTGGGCGCTCCCCGCGCGCGATCCCAAACGCGGGGAATGGACTTTCACTGAAATGCCCTTCGATGCCAAAGACCTGCCTGGGCCGCGGAGAGGGCGGGCTCCTGCGGATTGGTTCAAGGCTGATCTCCCCCTGCACAATGAACTTCGAGCTTCTTGTCCAAGTGCTACTCATTGCTGCACAAATGTGCAGAGCGATAGAGAGCGATAGAGAGAGACAGAGAGACAGAGAGACAGAGAGACAGAGAGACAGAGAGGCAGAGAGGCAGAGAGGCAGAGAGGCAGAGAGACAGAGAGAGACAAAAGACATGCACACAGAGACACGGGGAGAGAATGTTCTTGTTCTCTGCAATCGCTTGGAGCATGCATACTTGACACAGACACAACTCTCAGAGACCGCAACATGCGAAGGAGTCCTGAGAAAAGTGGGAGATCAGCGCTTCCAGGTCCACTCTTGCAGGCAAAGCCTCCTGCGATCTGCAGGCGGGTCTTCTGCTCTAAAAAAGCTCCGAAGCGGCTTTGCACTTCCGAGCTACAGGACTTGAACACAGACCGAAGAACGACGGTACCTCTTCACGACCTCATAAAATATCCTAAGCTTGCTACAGCGCCACTACATCCACGGCAACGACGAAAAGTGTTGATAGGCGTTGTAGGCCCGTCACAACTTGCACACAGAAGCCGACTCCGACCTCGACCTTCGCCATCTGCGCGACTCTGGTGCACTCTGGTGCACAAAGAGAAGCATCAGGGTGAGGAACGCAGGAACGCTGGCCATACTTCTACTGGGGCTTCTACGTCTGAGGTCGGACGTCATCTGTCAGGGTACGAGTAGGTCCTACTTGTAGGAATTGGTCAGAGAACGAACCGTGAAGGCCTTGAGACAACGGCGGAAGAGAGCGGCGAGGTGAGAAGGCTAGATGCAGCAATCCTCATGCCTCCTTCCAGCAGCGGCTAAACAAGCATTTGCATGCATTGGGAAGTGTGCAGTGTACAGCGCCTGCTCACGCATGTTTTGGCTCGACTCCGCGGTGCTCTCGTCGCCGCTCGAGGTCCTCAGTCGAAAGGGTGGGGATGAAACTTGGAACGAGGCGCGTTGCAGCGGGGCGACTTGCGCTCAACGGTGACTTTAGGCTGGAAGCAAGCTACGAGAGCGCCGGAGGCAGCCCCCAACTGGCGTCCAAGAAGCAGATTTTGGGCTTGGCGATGCTTGTAACTTGTAACATCAACTCTCGAAGTGCAGTAAAGATTTCTTCATGCTTGTTTAGGAGATCTCACAAGAGAAGCTCTGGGAGTTTTCAGACACGTTGGGAATTGACCAAACATTGGGACGCGGCGGACGCGGACTTCGGGCCCGGATTTGAAAGATTTAAGAGGAATTTGCCCAGAGAGTTTATGGAACATAGTGTGGGGGGAAGGACTACACTGATTACACCCAAGAGCACCCTCTTCCCGCAAAAACGTCCGAAATTCACCACCTATCTTTGGAAGGAAAGAGCAGAGTTTTTGCCGGCAGAAACCGGAAAGGCATTCCCAAGCAACCCCGAGAACACTCCAAGAGCGTGCCAAGACCTGCCAGGAGCACCCCAGGATGACCGCGTGGCAGCAAGCAGCAACAAGTTTGCATCCACAGACACAAAGCCCTACAATATACTGCAGGCCCTCCTGTCGCCTTCAATGGCATCTGCATTCTCTGCCACGGCACGCCAGCTCCGTCGGCTCCACCACCTCTGCGGAGGCCAAGAGCCTCCCTAGGCAATCCGAAACCTGGGCTTTTTAGAGAAGGTCCCCAAAATCTTACAGAGGCCCCCCCGGGATCTTCTAAGGGGGCGCTTCTTTCAGTCCCATCGAGGGACTCTGGAGGCTCAAATGGGCTGAGAGAGTGCAAGCGATCCACCCCAACAAGCGCGCGTGGTCACTTCCGTAGCATTCTTCCTAGAGAAGGGGTCAAGTTGCGGTCTCACAAATGTGTCTTGGGGCTTTTCATGTCTCCAGTTGAACACAAGCTGAGTTAACTTGAGGGGCCGAGCCGTCCAAGCGAATGCAGCGGGAACGCCCCGAAGCATCTAAATCTTAAATCCTCAGACAAGATGCCACGAGACATGTAGCTTGATTCGCTTGGCCGCCTCGCACAACAAGTCTGGGATGACGTCTTCAGGAACAATTTCTGGAAACTAAGCCCTGGCTATGGGAGATCTAACGGTGTTGCCCCACAAACAAACCACGCGACGCGCGGTCTTTATTCAAGGCGACAATGAAGCAAAAGACCGCCGACGCAACGTGCGACTCCCGGAGCTGCAGGTCGTTTCAACCCGCCCTGTCTCAATGTTCTACTTTTGAAAAACAAAGCTGCAAAGAGCACTCGCAACGGCCTCGCTGCTCTGCCATTTCGATCGCTGATGCCTTGCATGCCACGCAGATTCCAGGGATTTCTGGTTCGCAAAGCTTCGAAAACGGCCTCTCAAAAGCCGTGGCCTTCTCAAAGTGTCAGGGCATGCCACATGCCCAAAAACTCTCTGTTGCACGTGTGTGGGAGCAGCTGCAGCACGAAAAGAGGTTTTCAGGTACTGTACATCAGTGGGTGCCGCCTGGTCGTTGTTTTGAGTTGAAAGATGTTCACCCCCATGCTGTTTTGCAAGACCGCCGCTGCTGAAGTTGTGAGCCTTCGAATTCGAGAGTTCGTTTTCGTCGTCTCAGACTTCTATTTGTGGAGAACCACCATGGCCTCCTCTGAACTGCTGTTTCCGAGTCAGCAAATGGCCCTCCAAACGGCGTTTGGATGTGTATATGGAGATGCCCTTCGTATTCAATGTTGCGTTTATGCTTTCCTGGTGCTTGCTATGAAGGAGGCTCAGGGCCGACTCAAGCCGACATGTACAGATGCACTGAATGTGCTGTGTACACTGTCTTACAGTGTCTTCGGGTGCTCGGCAACTGCAGAAAGACGATCGGGACCAGGTGCGCCTGCAGAGCGGGGAGAGAGCGGGGAGAGAGCGAGGAGAGGGGTAAGGAGAGGGGAGAGAGGGAGGAGGAGACGGGAGGAGAGGGAGGGAGGAGAGTAGGAGGGCGGACGGAGGGAACGGAAAGAGTGAAGAGATTGAGAAGAGTGAAAAGGGTGAAAGGAGGGAAAGACTCAAGTGGAATGGCTCCCTCGAACCTCTTCCAAGTCGCAAAGAAACATACAGACCCACAAGCATACGACACGTGACCACAAAATCTTACCACTTCTGCTGGTCATCACGGTGAGAAAGACACATCACTACGGTATACTAGTAGTACTCACCAGTCGTCTTACGGAAGGAAAACGTCATGAGCAAGCATGCCACGAGCAGCTGCGTGCAGATATTGGGTGAAAACCTAAAGAACACAACCCCCAAAACCTTCAGCCCCAAAAACCCTGCATTGAATAAGACTACGACCTCCTTGAAAGGCTTGTGGCCTTCAGTTGTGCTTCCCGCCTTCATCAGCCAGCCGCACAACGAAGTTCATGTGGCAGGGGGCCTCGGCGCTATTGAATTCCAGCAGCTGGAGCGACAAGAGCTTCATTGAAGTCTTTTCAGGAGCAACGTGGGCACGCAGCAACGCAGCAATGCACCCCTGGGATACAGAGCGCACTGGAACTCACGGAACTGTAAGACATCCAGCTTCGGCTTTTTGCTCGTTCATGCTAAAGCACTCTGCCCTGAGTTTGCATCAAAACGATGCTGGCGGAAGGCAGGCAGACCCAAGTGCCATAGACGCTGCAGACGTTGTATATTGTAGGCTCACCAAGAAACCCAACCAAATCAGCCAGGAGCGTAACATCCCACAGAGAGGATCTGAGCCCCTACTTTTGACCAGGCTCCGTGGCCTCACATCACCGCGAGGCACTAGAGCCTTCTTTTTACAAACTGACGGCAATGCCGTACGGTACTGAATGAATGGTATTTGGAGATAGGGGATGTGTCATCACAAAAAATGTGTACAGTCTGAGTCCATGAATCTATCGGCCTGAACCCTGTTCTGCCGCATTCCGCCCATGTACTGTGGAGAGCGCCTTTTGACGCTGCGGTGCAGAGAAGTGGAGGCTTCCGTTCTCTTCCATGCTTAGCCCCCTGCACCAACTCTCCTGACAAGATGTCCAAGATGTGCAGTCGCAGCCAGCCCAGCACATTACAGAGGAGATAGGCTGCTGCATCAGGTCAAGATCTAACCACCAGACCCGGGCCGCAGCACAATCCCCAATCCGCTGTGCACTGGAAGGGCCACACTTTCGAATTCGACGCCGAACGCGCCCCCGAAGAGATGCGGGAATTCGCTTCTTACTTCCGCGGTACCCCAAAGTCTGGTGTCAGCATTTGTCAACACATGATGCAACACATCATGGAACAGCTCCGGATTGCTAGCACAGCAACTAGGAGCTAGCAGCAACGGCCTGGAAATGCGTCATGCGGTGTCTCAACCCCGGCATCTCCAATCCTCTGAAATGTCTGTAATTATTGCAGAGGCAGCGCGCAGGAAGCAGCAGCGCTCTTGAAATCAAAGCGACACTCAAAACTCGAAGGGTCGAGCGCCTGCTCCGTTGATAAGGACTTTGGAAAACAGAACACCGAAAAATCCAGGAATGTTGCATCTGGAAGGGGTACCTTGTGAATGAAGAAGGGTGCATGGCCTTCATGTGAGGCTTCTACGACCCTCAAGCTTGCGCAGCGACTCTTCAACACATCACTACATGATCACTGATTCTGGAATATCGGAGAATATTGGATATGCTGGCGCCTCCCAATGCTCCCCATGATCGCATCCTATGTCAACATGTCCAGTCGTCAAACATTGAGCTGGATATAGCTGGATGCTTCATGAGCCGGTCTTCTGTTCCGCAGCGCTCTCCCCTTCTGCGGCACCCTTCACTGGTGCTGGACGCCCAGCATTCGAGCAGGCAAATGGCTCAAGCACGGGAGCAGTCCTGAGTGGCAGCACAGCAAAAACAACCTACGAACATCTGCAAACTCAACGTGCACAGACAGGGACTGTGCAATATTGTGCAGGCCTATCGACTGTCACACAATGCCACGTATTGTGCAGCCACTTTCTTCAAAGATGAAGCCTGTGCCAGCTTAGGGCACACAAAATACCGCTCGCTGAAATCGGGCGCCGTTCATGGCCGTGAACAAACCTGACAACCTCACAGGTGTGGGCTTGGGCTGCACAGCCTACACCAAGTGACAAGCGCACAGGAAACACAGAAACACAGGAGCCCTTTTGCGAGCAGCTTCAAACAGCACAGAGCCAAGCTCGGTGCTGGACATGCGGTGTGGCAAGATGCTAAGAGCGTAAGGAGCTTCCTACAAAAAACCAAACATCCCCCCCCCCTTAAAAGAATGAGAGGAGCCGGAGAGACCATTACATGTGCTTAGAGCCATGCGCTTATCCGAGGCCCCTCGATCCTCTGCGGCTAGGCCCGAATTTAGGCAAGTCATGCGCTTAAGAGAAGACCACCAGGCTGCCCCAAGCAGCCCTCCTGGCCCTCTGCCAATCTCATCCCTGTGAGCCCCAGCCAACGCATGCCCAACAACATAGAGCACAGCATTCTTTCAGTGAATTCCATTTGCTTGGACAGGCTCTGCAGGGCTTTCCATGCACCGCCTGCGCTGCATCCCCGGTTCCGTGAATAGGCAAGTGACTCTAAGACTCTAAGTGTATCTGGGGAACCGGGAGTCATGTCACGAGCAAAGGCCCTCAGAAAATAAGGTCTTGAGAGCGAGAAAAGGTTTGCTCGAGCATTTGGCTCGGAGGTCGCCCGGTACCTTTGAGAACTTCTGCAAGCTTCTGAGAGCTTCTGCGAACTGCGGGCCTAAGAAGCTTGTAACCCGAAAGCCGGCGCTGAACATGTGGGGCAGCAGCGACGTGAGGGTTTCACTTGCATACGATTGTGGAGCTGAACTTTTGACAACAAGTAGCATGATAAACAGCATCTAGATGTTGATGAGCTTTGTTTTGGCAATGCACCAAAGGACAGAATGTAATTCACCACACTAGCACGCAGGGGGCTGTTGAAGTCGCCACAAAGACGACAGCTAAGGTGACCATGGCAACAAAAACTCCACAACAGACGTATTGGGGCTGTCAGAGGAATGAAGCCAGAGACAAGGCAACAAGGAGCCAACAGTTGCTCCAAGCTGCTGCAAGCACCAAGAAGCCGAATCTAGCCCAGGCCACAATCAAAATCATGTGCAAGATATCTTACTAGCAAAGACGGCGAGCGCCCCCTGGCCGAAAAATCGTCACACACTCCGGGCGTACCAAGACGAGATGCTCCTTATGGTCCCCATCGAGTTCCGCTACACACTCAGCTCAGCTAGTTGCATATAGTTCCTGGGAGCACTTCTCGTCTTGATAAGACCTACCGACGTCTGCACACGAGAGGCCGGCGCGAAAGGAAAATCGGGATGAATCAAATGGCCAGAGCGAGCCGGGTTAAAGATCTAAAGTGCAAGCTGAACCATGGGCAGGAAGAACCGAAGAAAACTTCACCTTGTCACACATGCACCTGAATTGCGAAAACATGGGCCACTACAACCCTGAAACCTCAACCTCAAAGCTATTTCAGGAGTCCATGTGCTCGCTGGCCACTGTACTGTACCAAAGGCCTCAAGATGCCGCAAAATGAAGCTGTCGCAGGGAGGAGGGCAATTTCTGCGGCTGCTTACGGCTGTTTTGGACGGTCGACAGGAACCGTCAGGAACCTCCTGATGCTTGTTTCGCCAGCGCATCTGCAAGTCCTTTTATCTCCCATCGAACCAACGGTTTTTCAGCATGCAGGCGTGTCACTTGCCAAAGATCTCCGAAATCGGTATGCTCAACCCGTTGGTGATCTTCGGAAAAAACTCATGTGCAAAACGCTTTTTGCTACAAATATCCATATGAGTCTTTGGGGCTTGGGGAGTTTGAGGTGGCTGGGTGCATCAAGCTTACTTCACTTTTCACACAGTCAAGAAGTTAGCAGCGTAGGTATTTTAGCCATCATCAATTATTCTCAGCTGTTCTCAGCAGCTCTCAATTGCTCCCCTCCCACACACGAAAGCCACGCGGTCACGAACTGAGCCGTGACGGCTCCGAGACCACTCTGACCATTACAGCTGCCCAACAGCGTTGTGCAGAAAGGGCTTCTTTTTTTCTGCTAGAGATTTTGGCACATGATGGGACATGAGATATCTGCATAGGTCTGCATGCAACGTCTGCTGGTGCGGTACCTCAGAGCTGCTGAGGCGGCGAAAGTCGAACCTCGGAGATCGGCTAGGTCAGGGGGTGGGGGGGGGCGGGCAAAGGCGGCGAGGTGTTGTCTTCTTTGCTTTTTTCGTTTGATATGTTTCAGAGAGCGGAGCTCCCGCAGCCTACGTATGGGGCACACCGCACACAAGTTCGAGCTCCTGTTCGAGCTCCTCTGCTTCAGAGAGACATGACCGGCCACGAGAATTTGATGCGAAGAAACAGAGGAAACAAAGGAAACTTTGCATGTCAAAAACTCCACGGGTTCTGGCCAGGAGCCTGCTGTGGCGGACAACTTCGGCACTCACGGCGAGGCCCTCGGCGAGGCTTCACGGGTATACCTGGAAAATTCTGCACGTATTATTGTTACTAATACTATGATTTTCCTTGTTCTTCTTCTTATTAGTATGACTAGATGACTATTATTGTTATTAGGTTAACAAGAGCAGGCAGCATGACAACTCACGAGGTCTCTTTCAACATCTCCCGTCCTCCACCTGGCCATCGGTTTCAATCCAAGCCTGCCATTTCGCTCTGACGCGCAAATCCACATGACAATGTCGGGTCCCCATCCCCCATGCCCTCCATCCTCCACCCAGTGCAGGCAGCAATCTGAGCATCTAAATCTCCTAGGACCAGTTCTTGCAGGACGTGGAAATCGTTTGGTGTGGGGGCTTTTCTGGGAAACGGATTGCAGGATGAACAACAACCTGAAGTCCCAAAGCCGGGGCCATACCTCATTGACGGCGCCACAAAAGACTTGAAACCTTCAGCCTGAACTGACGGCCCAGAGAGTCCAAGACTCCAAGATACTCCTACTCACGTATCCCAATTCTAGACCCACACGCAACCCAGTCTCCGACCAATCCAACCAGGACTGTGGGGACATGTTGGGGATGCAAGTGGGTTTTGGCTCTCTTGCTTTTGGGATTGGCATGTGCTTGGCATGTGCTGGCAGAGCGCATTGCAAAATGGGAACTGCAAGAGGAGTCGTGGCGGAAGGAGCATATACTAGCCATTGGTGCAGCACTATCTGAGCAATCCGCAACAGTCCTTGCCTTGGGCCCTCAGAGCGAGAAGCGGGCCGCAGCGTCCAGGGTGTAGGTGGCCGGCCTCGAGAAATTTCGCAACGTGAATGCGACGTTGTCAGCAGTGATCGCGGGACGACCAGCAAACGACACCACAGGCTACGGATTTTCAACTTAACTTAACTTAACTTGCAGTATGCAAGGCATCCACCATCAGCAACAGCAGTTTTTTCAGGAGGCCCAAGGCAATGTCCGCATTCCCGATTAGGTTTTGACCGACTGGACACTGTAGCTGGTTACCGGGGTTGGGGAGAACAACGGGGAAGGACTTCGCAAACTGTGGGAAGCTGTGGGAAATACCAAAGGCTCCTACTTGGGAGATGTTCAAAATGGCTTTTTTTATCTTTTGTTTTAGGGGACCCTTAACCTGGGGACGCCCCAAATCCCGATGCCAGACTTAAATGGTCCAACATCCGGTACCACAACACAAACAAGGGTGTCACAAAACGGGCCCGTTCACGACAAATCCAGGCCAACAAGTTGGAAGCAGGAAAACAAGAAAAGGGCGCAAAAAGGGGGGCAAAAGGGGGACAAAAGGATGCAAAAAAGGGTGCAAAAGAGGGCAAAGGGGGCTCTAGGGCGGCTGCGCGAGCGGCGCGCGGCCGGAGGGGCGTCGCTGCCGGGCCTTGCGAAGCGAAGGAGAGGAGAAGAGTCGAGATGAAAAAGAGAAGAGGAGCCAACGCCCTTCAGAAGAAGAGAGAGAAAGAGAGGGAGGACTGGAAAACAAGAAAAAGAATGAAAAACAGGAGAAACACGCGCAATGGGACAAGGAGAACACCCACTGACAAAAGGCAACGCGGCAACGAAGAAAATTCGGGGCCGCCGCCGGGATTCGGCGCGGCAGTGGCAGCGCAACGCCTGATCTTAGGAGTCTTCAGGAGTCTTAGCTTGGAAATCTCACAGAGGTACAGAGGTCTCTCAACAGAGGTCCTCTCTGAGAGCCTGAGAGGACCTGCAACTTGGGGGTCTCACTGAGTTTCTCATGAAAAGGCGTCTCAGTCAGAGTCTCTTCAGAGAAATCTCTCAGAGAGGGCTCCCAGAGGGGGCTCAGAGGTGGACTTGTTCTCCCCAAAGGCTTAAGAAATGGCTTTTTGTTGTGAGAGCTTGGGGGGATGGCTCTGGGGGATGCAATGGATCTGAGGCCTGTGAGGGAGGGGGTTTTTTGAGGCTGAGGGGGGGAGAAGGGGGGGGGCAGTGATTCTGTTTGCCCTTACGAGCCTTGACATTGAGCCTTTGGAGTCTCAGCTCAAGCGCTGATGACCGCTCCTGAATTTCCCCCTGAGCTGCCTGGAGAACCCTCCTCCTCCGAAGAGTCGCAGGGGGTGTTGCCCTGCCAGTTCGGAAGCGGAACAGATCGGAACATCCAACTGACACGTCACTGACGCATCTGCCAGTTTGCAAACTGCAGGTGCTGGTGGGGGAAAACGTCCAGCCCTCGCTCTGAATATCGAACGCTCGACAAATGCTCTGAGCAGGTTCCGTGACTTGCAAAGTTCCTCACCGACATCTCCACGACATGGTGCTGAAAGTGTGTCAGCCTCTTAACAGCTCATGCCCCCCACCTGGGGTGAGGCACTAGGCGTTGTGCTCAAAGAGTGGAAAGTCTCCTTGCTTGTCAGAAATACTCGCGAAGAGATGTGTAGCAGCTTCCTGCTTATTTCCACCCGGCACAAAACAAAAGGTGCTCTGAAAAGGACACGATCTCGGACGCGTGTTGGAACGGGCTTGATCTCGACAGCTTCTGCACCTGACAGCGCAAAATGCTTCTGCTGGGCCGACTACACCTGGCGCAGCTTCAGCAGCTTCTTATGGTTGCTCGCCGCCGAAGGAAGCTGAGGTTTGTGCGCTTGTGGCAACTTCGACTTCCAGTTGACCTGGGCGAACTTGCATTTGCACTTTTTTAAGTTCCGATGTGGTGTTAGGACCTCTATGCCTCTACGCACTCTGTGAGTGCAAATGTTTCGCTTCTATACATTAACACTTAAGATATTCCACAAAACCATCGATCCCTGTTACAAGAAACATGCTCCTGGCAGCAGAGGGTTTGTTGGGTTGGCTTGTCGGGCGCTGGGTGGCGGCATTTCTTTCAAGACTTCCATGCGGGTATCGGTATCCACCAACAGAAGCTCTCAAAAGCTTTTGCCTGGTGAACTGGGTTGGCGCCCGGAGACGGAATCGCAGGTTTGATGGCACTTGAGGGCTTCGTGCCTGGAGTTCTCCTCCATGCAGCCATGGGGGAGTTGCCCTTCCAGCCCCGCGGTGGAGTTCTTGAGAACTGGTTGACTGCCGCTTTGCTCTTCAACCAGCCAAGTCGGTCTTGGTCATCAAGCCACTCACTTGCACTCACTTGCAATGCCAAGGCCGTGGCGAATGGCCTGTGCCAGCATGGTGTGATCCGACGCGCTGAGCTTGCCTGGAGTGCAGGGGAATGCTTCGGTTGGGGGGGGGGGGCTTTTGGGCCCTCTGTTCTTTCTGGGCTTTCCGGCAGGGGCAATGCCTCAAACACAAGTATCTTCCCGAGTCACTCAGAGCGACTCAGAGTGTCCTGAGGGCGGCTCTCGGCGCTGTTTTTCGTTTGTTCTTTTTGCTCCTTTCTTGCTTCTTTGTAATCCGGGCACCTTCCTCTAGACCTAGACACAACTACAGGATGCTTCCCCTCCTCGACATTTCCCCGTTACTACACCCATCTCCCCCTAAAGCAGGGCTTGCCTCCGCCAGGTGCCAGACTTGTGAGGATTTGGGTCATGCGCGCCTGGGCGTCGTCTTCGTTGGCTAAGAGGGTCAGAAGGGGTTCGAACGGCCTCGAATCCGGCTGTTCATGGCCCTGGCTCCATTAACGTGGCTTTGTTGCATCCACTTCGCTCCTCCTAGAGGAACAAACCTCTGAATTCCTCAGTAGAACCCATGTGCAGCCAACGGCTCCACATCCGCAGTGGGGAGTCGTCCGTAGAGGTCGGTGAGTGCCTTGACGTGATGGCGCTCTTGACTTTGGGAAACGGCTTGAGATGGCTGGGGCTAAGACTGTCATGAGGCAACTGCACCGCATCACACATCACTCAAGTCACTCAAGGTTCGGCAATGGAAGTCGTGCCTTGGCCATGAGCTGAGCATCCTGCCGTCAAAACATTCATTGACAAAGCGAAAAGAGATCACAAGGGGCGGGCACGACTCGGCCCTGCCCTTGCTTCAAAACCCTCTTCTCCCTCTGCAGGGTCATTTTGCCGACCCTGTCCTGACTGCCCTCAACTCGCGGTTTTGGCTGAGACACCTGCAACTGCGCTGATGGCAGCTTGCAGTCATGCAATCCAACGATCCAAGCATTCGCTCCAAACTTGCAGACAGAAGTCCTGGCAAATCATCATGCGTACACATATTGGAACGGTACATGTCTACTTGTCAGGTTTGAGAGCTGTAACGGGGGCATCGTAGGCGGGGCGAGGCCCGCGAGAATTCTTTCGAATTCGACTGCCTTTGAGATTTTCGCAGCGTTTCGCACCTGCTCGAGCCCTGGCGGTGGGGCCACGTATCCAGCAGTCGTGCGTCCTCGGCTCAGCAAAGAACCAGTTCACAAGCTTATTCGAAGGCTATGGGAATCAAGCAAAGAAGTAGCGAAGAGTACTGGCAACGAGTGGCGCACAACGTGCGAAACATGCCAGAGGCATTTACCATCTTGTACCCAAACCCTTGAATCACAAACCGGAGCCAAGACCGAGTACGGAAAGGCTTAACGGCCCCAACAGCACAAGAAATGCAATCTTATTTATATATCTGAAAACCAGCGCCCAGTAGCCAAAATCCATGGTCTTCACAAGAAAGTTGTACTACTGGGGACTTCTAGGCTTGAGATTGTAACACGGCTGCGGCGGCGCAATCTTGGGTCACAGCCGAGAGATTTCACGTCACAATGGAAAGTTCGGCCCTTGATAACAGCCTGAGCGACTACTGTGCTGCCCCAAGTTCGCATATGGCATCAGAATAACCTGACCCTGCCAGACTGGTCCCCCAATCCGCCCTCGAACCGCAGAGGACGCCGAATCCCAAAGGACGGCGCTTGGAGTTGCATCTTTGGCGTCTGGTACGACCTTGGCGCTTGATGCACATGTGGCTGGGGCCTGAGGAGTCTGGTGATTTGTAAACCACCAAACAACCCAAAAGATTCCATGCGTGCAGTTTACGCACACACACACACACAGAGAGGCTAAGTGGTGAAAAGTGCGGGGAGTTCGGGATGCACGGTTGGGTGTCCCTTCCCATCCGGGGAAGCACTTATTTCGGAGCTCCGCCGAGGCGCACGCCGGCGCGGCGGAAGATGGCCAGCGCCCAGGCCAGGTTCTGCAAAACACCCAGGTGCTGCCAAAAAAAGCATTTGGTGAAAAGGAGGAGGAGGAGGAGCAGTCATTTTCTGGCGTCTGAAAGTCACCTCAATCGACATGCCCACCTGCAGATCTTGTGCAGAAAAGCCTCGCAGGGCACTTCGGGGCTCCAGCACTCCGACATCACTTCTTTTGCATCGAGTAAAAGGTAGGCAGAAGTAGCACCCTGCAACTTTCGGAAGGCACCGAAGAGCTGAAATTCACAAATACAGTTCCTTGTGAAGGTGCTGTAAAGTTACTATATGTAAAGTTGCCGAATATGATGTAATGCGCTCGCAAGCACTCGCACATTACCCCCAGCATAATTGCTTTTGGAAAGCCCTGCGGTGCCCAGGGGCACGCGGATGCACAGGTACCATGGATGTGAGTCGCACGTGTCTTGGGAACATGACGTACAGGGGCTGGCCTACGGACGAGGTGCATTTTGGCTCATGCAGGGACCACGCCATGACCGGCCCAGAAAGGCAACACACAAAGCACCCTCTCATCGCAGCCCGCGCCTCGCAATCGCCCGGGCTTCGCCGCCTCCGCGCAGGCGGCGGCGACGAGGCGTGGCCGCGCTGCCTCCGAGAGCTCCACAAAAAACCTCCCTTTTTCTCTTCCTTGGTCTTCTTCTTCTTCTTCTCCTTCTTCTTCCTGCTGGGTCTGAAAAGAAGAAATTCACCCTCTGGCACGCCCTGAGTGTTCAGTCTGAGGTCGGTGTGAGTCATAGGAACAGCGAGGTGTCAACACTGAACAAACAAAAACACCGCGTTACTTCCTTTCGGTTGCTTGGAGGGGTACGACACGAACATGCATTTCAGGCATGGATTGAAGGGCGTGGGTTTCCCGCCCTGTAGTTGCGGTCTTCCCCCTTGAACTTTGTTGTCTTTATCTCTCTCTCTCTCTCTCCCAAGCTCTTCAAGGGGGTGACTCGTCTGCTCTCGTGTGGGTCCACCATCTCCCCGGGCTACACTGCTCCAGGGACAGTTGCACGCTGCAGACGGGTCTGTTGCAACCTGCAATGCAACAAGAATCGGCCTAAAGCCCCGCCTCCAGAGAAGCATAAGCCCAAAGGATGGCAGCAACGTCACGGCCGGCAAAGGTGGACAGCACGCCTTCCCAACACAGCTGCGCCATTCCAAGACACGAAAAAAACCTTCCAGAATTGAGAAATCGAAAATCAAGACCCTCTGAGCTGAAACTTGTCTTGAACATTGGCCATCACACCCTCACTGACACCTTCTTCGAAGGCTCTATGGCCTTACCTGGGCACCTACCCTGGCCTCGTGCTTACAGGATGCTCTAGGCCACGGCTCGGATAAGAATTCACTAAGCATTTCAAGCTGGCGGGATGCCGCACCCCAACCCTTCAGGCCCGGACGAAATGTCAGTTTTCGCTGGCAGGTTCGGCGCAGCACTTTCCAAGTGGCGAACAGTCTCCAAGGTGATTTTGGCCAGCGGCAAGTCTCTGCAAAACCACCACCCAGGCTTTTTGGCGCACAGAGCTGCAGTTTAGAAGCCTTGTCGATGTTGCTGGCAAGCGCAGGACTTTAGCAACATTCCATGCCTGATGGCCGTTTTCGTGTTCTGTGACGACGGGCACTTTTCTGCAAAATCGACCATGGCACCAACCCTACACGGACGTAATCATCGTGCGGGGATGCTCTGGCCATTCGCAGGCACTTGGATGCGCCAGGAAAACGTTAAGTCATGGTTCGGTCATGGCAAAGCCTCAGCTGACAGCTGGGAGGTTTAAACAAGGCTATCACAGTACATCAACCCTGCAGATTGACGTCGCGAAATCACAGACGTGACATGCCTCCACTCTCGCAGAGCTCTTCTTCCAACTTGGCCAAAAGTTCCTCGGACTTCAAGCCCACCCTGCGCACGGCACAGAAGCATAAGGGGAGGGTTCTAAGTTTAGGCTCGGATCTATCGGCGCTACTGTTCTGACTTGACTAGGACTTCTCATCTCACCAACAGCCTCTGACAGATGCCTTGATCACAAGAGCCATGTCCAACCCGCTTGGGGTGCATGCAGGAACGTAGTCAGTTACTTACGTTTGTTCATGTTTAACATCCTTGTTCTGATTATATGCCTTGTATATTTTCCTTCTGTGCAACGCTTGCAACATCGGCTGTTGCATTCATTATTTGGGGCATCCCTTTAGGATATAGAATGCAACATCAAACAGTTAACCTTCATGTCCATGTGTGCACCTTGTAATTTCTTTGTATGGGAATATCTGACAGATTGCTAGACCATGCGAGTTGTTCGCATCTCTTTTGCGAGTATCTGACGCTTCCTTTGTTTCATTGTGTCGTTCTCCCATATGGGGGGGGTGTTTGCTTCGCTCTTTCTTGTGCAGCACTGGCACATCCCTCCACAAAGTCTGTTTTCAACCGTCTTGCAGATATTTTCATCATGAATCAGTCCTAATTCAACGCCCGTTTTAAGTAGCGTAGCATCCCAAGCTCAATTCGGTAGTGTTATATAATGAGCGGGTCTACACCAGAATCTGCTTTGAACAGTCTTCAAAGACGTTGGCTGATAATAAAACATCAGTTAGGTTTTTGGATCCTAAAATGCTCCCATGCCTTGCTTGCCCTATCGTACTCTGACTGTATAATCCCTTCGTCTGTTAACTTGTTGCAGAAGTCTTCACTGCTAGGTGCAGTGACACCGTAGTGACGCTTCTTTAAATAGTTCACAATCAGCAAAATCCTCATAAGGATAAACGCCCTTATCTGCTAAATCTCTCGTCGTTTGCATATATGCTTTCCTTTACTATGCATAAATCCTTTCTGCCATTCTGGTCTCTTCTCATTATCTTCATATTTGCCAAGAAGAAAAGAACCAAAACCATGATCGAAATCATGTGAATGTTACAAACATTTCGCTGTTCTTGTGCTGCTACGCTTATCTGGTACTTTTTTCGATGAGCCCGGGGTTTAAAGAATTTGCAGCAATTATATAAACTACATGTTTTCGTGTACTGCCCCGTACATTGGGAGTGGTCGACTCTGCTGGATCTCTCTGAGGTTGAATCTACCACCGCAAGTTGGCAAGGCAAACCATAACAGGCATGCAAATGACAAAAACTAGCTGCACTAGACAACATATCGTTTAAGCAATGACAACCAGCAGAGGAGGCCCTTAAAAGGTCATAAGTATGTAACGAACATGCGTGACCTGGTCCCAAATCAGTGAGAGCCTTTCGGAGTGCACGCGTTCCGCGCCTCGCCAAGCCCCAAAGCAGGTTGGCAACATGGCGCGGCTCCCAGCGGTGCACGGGTGCTCCTGTTTGGGTGACGTTGAGATTAGGGTTCGATTTTCAACAAATGGGGGGGGGAAGTTGGGGTCAACTAGTCAACGAGGAGCCTCCTGCCAGGATGCGCTGCGACACGGCGGCAAACCAGACCTGATGACTGGGTAACTTTGGGCATCAACTTGGCAGAACAAGCACGAGGCTTGGATGGGCAGGGAGTTTGCTTTGGGGGAAGCATGCTGACTCTCCTGCCTGCCCAGTGGTGCCCGTTTGCACTCAGGGGCTGTCAGCAGTGATGCTAGGATCCTCTTCCAAACTGCCGATTTCTACACTCGTGGAATGAATTGAGAGCTTGTGTCACTCTGTCATCACAGAACCGTCTCAGTGGCCATGAACTCTGGGCCTTTGGGCCTTGCTAGGTGGGGCATCAAGTGACGAGTGCGTCTCCACATGGTACGAAGTTATGCTGCCATGTGCCCCAACTCATGCCTGCCAAAAACGAGGTCACCTCGTCACCCATTCAACCTGCCCCTATCTGCCCCTCATGCCTGCTCTCTTGCTGTTCATTGATTCGTCGCAACGTGGATGCAGGGTCAAAGGCAACCTATGCTGTTCTGAAAAAAAAGAATGAATTAGGCCAGCAATGTGTACAGTGACCACGAACTGCATAGCTGCTGCTACGTCACTTACGTCACTGTCACTCATTGTCACTCCAGAAGAAGCGCCTGGCTGGCCAGGCGCAGCGTGCCGTGGGCCCAGGACACGTTGGCCAAGTGCTGGCCTCGAAAACACCACAGGCACAAAGGCACAAAAAGACTTTGCACTTTGAAATTTGTTTCGAGAAAAGAACTTGGGGGACACTGTCACCTCCCTCCAATACAAGCCCATCCAACAGGCGAACAGCAGACTGGAGCCCTTAAAGAGCGGCGCACTCGTCATCTCCTCGGCCCGGGCTGCGCAGCACTGCCCCAGCCTCGCCCTGAGTTGTCAAATCTCTTTCCAAAGAAAATCGTCTTGAACACTCCTCAACCCCTCCTCCAAGCCTCAAAGAAGCCTCAAAGCGGTCTTCTCCGATCCCTCATCGGTCTTCTTCGATCCCTCAGCGCTTGAGCTTGCGGCCACAGAGTCGCTGCCTTGGGGGGCAAGGGAGCCTGACAGGTCTAAGAGGTTGCAAAGGGGGGGGGGGGGGGAACACGTGTCTGGCTCATGTCCGGCTTTTAGCTCCCCGGCTCCACTCTGGCTCCCTGCTTGGCAGAGTCCCCGCCTCGCTGGGTTGCGGTTGCCTGAGTAAGGTGTGACTCAAGACCGGCTCAAGGAAGTTCAAGGGTAGCTCAAGGCTAGTAGGGTGGGGTATAGCCCATGAAGCGGAGGCACGTCAGCGTCGCAAGAGCCCAGGCCACATTCGACAGCTCCTGCGCCATGCTGCGCCAAAATCTGTTTCGGGCTGCTCCGGGCTTGAAAGAAGACAAACAAACAAAAAACAAGGAGCATCTCGATGGTCAGAGGAGCTCCGAATTCACCGGCCCGGCCTGAGCATTGGCTTCGGGGAGCAGCTGCGGCAAGGCCTCCAGCGTGTCACCGGCATCTTTCTGACTCAGGGCTCGCCAGTGCACAAGCGTAAACTTCTTCGTTGCGCTGAAGGCGCTGCATCTAAATGTATAGTCGAGATGTTTGCCCTACGCGCGCACGCGCGCGCGCCTTTCCATGGCAGCGGGAATTAGGGCAGGCTGTGCAAACACAAAGTCCAAAGCTTCCCTTCCAGAGGCACACCTCTGCAATATCCAGCACGCACAGAGTATGTAAACATATCCATATACGTATTTAAGCGTTGAACTTAGAATTAGCATTGTAATTGGTACCCCGCCATGTAAACTCGCCCTGTGCTGCCAGAAACTCCGCTGCAACCCGGCCTGGCGCCTGCATGCATTCTGATACTGAAGTTTATTGTTCGACACAATACAAAAGAATCCAATTGTAGCCGGACCCTCATAAAACAAAAGACGGGATACCCTCAAAACCAACACCAAACAAACAGCACCACAACACAAAAACGACTGGAAGGAATTCCCTCAAAATCAAAACCAAAAAACAGATCCAGAATTGAAAGACAGCATTCTCCCGACAAGAAACTCGTCTTGAACTCCGTCTGCAATGGTGGTTTTCTGGTGTTGTTTGGCTGTGATGTGTGTTGGATTTTGCTCTTGCTTCATGCATCATGCTGGAACTCTGTTTTGCAACGTTGGCCAGCATGGTAACACATGTGTATGGCTACCAGAGCCTTGTGATGAGAAGTGCCGTCAGGTAGCTCTAGATTTGCCTTGTTCGCTGACCATGCCCTGAACGTGACCACAAAAAAAATCAAAACAACGACCACCGAATCTTCGATCACCCTCGACCATTCTCGACCCAAGCACCTCGCGGGAGTGAGCTGCCAACCGGGCGGCACTGGGCACCCTGGCCGGAAGCTGCGACCTCAACTTGAAGTTTTTTAAGCTTGCCAGAGCTTTTGACTGTTGCAGCTGCCACTGTTGATTCCGATGACTTCTAGTGTGGCTCGTTCACTGTAGTACAGCGTTGCAGCTGCAGCTTCTGCAAAAAGATGCTTCCACGCCTTGCATGTTGTACATCATCCGGCATTCTTCTGGCAAGTGTTTTTATCGGTGAAACACGTGGATCTCTTGACACAACCTTCACTGACCTTCACACAGCTTAGCTTAACAGCTCAACACCTGCCGGCCTCACGACGTGCAGTTTCCTCATCCCCACCCCGGCCTTGCTAAAGCCCACAGCATACTGGCCGCCTCGCGTGCCGAGGTTGGAGGAGAGAGCCTGTAAAAAGTTACTTTAGGTGGGGCGGAGCATATGGGGAGCATCGGCGGGGCATGAGCTGGAGCATCTTCAACATCTTGCAGAAGAAGCGTATCGCGGCTGACAATACTGCCGCGTGCTGAACGGCGACCTGCCAAATCGCGAAGAGGACCCAGACATCCACGAGAACCCACAGAAACGGAAACCCACAATCAAACCCAACATCGAACCCATCCCCAGACCTGCGAAGTGCTGCTTGTATCCACGGCGGTACCTCGTAATGAAGCCGGGAGAGAAAAACAAAAAGAGCTAAAGTGTTGCCGGGGGGGCTGCTAAACTTGAGAAGTGAAGGCCCGACAGTTGAGGTTTCGCAGCTCACACCCGATCCGTACATGTTCGCTGCACTCTCTGCCCTCCATCCAGCACACAACAGAGGAGTAGGATTCCGGGGATCTCAGAAGTTTGTAGAAATAATCAGGGAAGTGATCGCTGTCGCGCCCGCTAAGGTCTGCCTCTGGCCTCGCTGTGTTATCGGAGCTGCATCGGAGGCCTGATACGCCGACCGCATTGTCGCCGCTTTGGCGCGCTGTTTAGGTCCTTTTTAGAGGTCACCCTCCCCCAGCAGGCACGCTCACAGACTCGCTGCATGCCCATGAGAACCGATGATGACCACCATGTGCCCTGATTTTTTTGCTGGTAGAACTTTGATCGCTCTGTGCGCGTTTCGTGACGACTTGCATGCTGACAGCAATCGCTAGAAATCTGTAACTATCTGGGACCACTGGCTGCATCAAGGGAAACTTTTGCACACAATGTACACGATTTAGCCCAAACTTTCTTCTGCCATTGAATAGGACCAGGGCACACTCCAGCGAAGAACAAGCACATAAACAAACCGACCTAGAATTCAAACCATAAAACTGCTCCACCTTCCCAAGCTTAAGCGCAAAGACGCTAACAGGGACACAATTGGCACCTCGGCGTCTGGCCGGGGTAGCCTCAAGGCGCCACAACGGTGGAGTAATGCCACCAGGTGCATGCCTCTGCTGCGATGTGTGGAAAGTAGCAGATGAAAGGCAATTAAGCAAATGGCTGTGATGCAAGGCAAGTATGCAAAGCCGCACCAAGTTGTACTGCCATGACAATCTCGGTTGCTGAGGCCAAGCACGGTCCATACGGTTGCCGTGCTCAAAGCTGAGCTTGGCAAGTTCCTGCAAAACGATGAACAGACGACTTTCGTCAGTAACGAGATCTCTGGCAAGCTTTTCCTCCCCGCAACTTACCTTTGCCTTAACCCGAGACTTGCCCAAACTTCAAACATCTCAAGCCCGCCCCCCTCGCCTTGGCACCGGCATGTCGAACCTGTGCAGTCAACTGCCGGGCCGTGAGCTCTCGTGCCATGCCTTGGCGAGTTCATCTGGCTTTGCGGATTCAAGCACTGAGACGGGATTTCAACACATGTTCAGAAGCTGTTCAACAGGACGACGCGACAAAAACCTCAAGGGCTCAACTTCCAGGATCACACGTTCCAGGCGCTCATTTCTTGCAATGCAAAAGTTGTCCCTGAAAAACATCCATACATGCACAAAGCATCTGAACATCGTGAGGAATATTTCGACTCGTGGCTTCACTTTTTATGGGCGAGCATGACAAGTTGGCGGCTGCCGAATGGCTCTTTCGGCGGCTTCTGCGGCCGCTGCAACTGCCGAGGAGACGAGCGGATGCATCTGCCAAATCATGGACATTTCTCAAATTAAGCAGACCCGCATGGCTTTGTTGATATTGACCTTTTCCAACGCATCGCAATGAAAACAGCTTTTGCGGGGGGAGGTTCGATTTTCCAGTACATGCACCACACTCGCCCGAGCACCTGCACTACATCCTACACGTGCCACATCGAGTCACATGTCATGCACTTTCAACCGTTCTTGTAAAGGGTTCTCATGACCGGATCATGTCCTGCAGCCAATACGACTTGCACCATGTACACAAATCTAAACAATGAAAGCCATGATCCTTCACTCCTTTCTATCTGTTCGGAAGTTCGGCAACTAACAACAAATCTCTGTCTGCTTTCCCATGCCCTCACGTAGTCTGGACAAATTGACATGCACTATGCAACTTCCGACAGCTTCACACCTTTACATTCGCATGTACACGATTGAGCTTGACTTGATGTTCGGCGACACATTGGGCAAATATGTATAGACTATTGTCTTCCAAAAATGAGCACAAGAAACAGCCGGCCAGCGCCTACTGCTCTTGCTCTTGCTGTAGTATCGCATGTCAACTGCACCGTGGCCGCGCTCTCCAAACAGATTCCACGTTTGGAATATTCAATCTTCTCCAAACAGATGGTATGTCCTGTGCCTCATCGATTTATGAAGCGGAGGAGAAGTAGAAATTAATCTCAATTCCACACCTTCTTTGTGTGCTTTGTTTCTTAAGTTTATTATTCGAAAAGCAGAGAATAAGTCCGTCATTCGAAAATCAGCAGAGTAAAGACTTCATCCACATTCCAATCTTGTTAATTCTTCGAAATCAGAAGAGAGAGAATTAATCTAAATTTCACCTCCATTATTTCTCGTTTTCTTTCTATTCTCAGAAAAGTAGAATCTGAGGAGAGAAGTGGAGAATTGGTCAAAATTCCACCCCCTCGCTTTTCTTTTGTTTCTTTTGAAAGTCAAATGAGTTGAGAACCAGAGAACGGTTGTTCTGACAGCATTTTTCAAGCCTCGATGAAACCTCGCATCACGCCATCCTGGGCCTCAAAAGTGGGCAACGGTGACTTTCGGGGCCCAAAACTGGGCAACGGTGACTTTCCAGCCTCGAAAGTGGGCAATGGTGATTTTCCGGGCCTCAAAAGTGGGCAACGGTCTTTCCGGGCCTCAAAAGTGGGAACGGTGATTTTCCGCACAAAACAAAACAAGATTGAGGGAGGTGGAATTTAAATTAAAGTCAAACCTGGATCGCAAAGGAGTTCGAACCTGCATTGAACCCAGTCGAAAGGGCTTCGAAACTTCGAAGGCGAGAACGAAGGGTGGCAAAGCTTCGAAGACTTCGAAGGGTGAGAACGAAGCGGGCTTTGCGCCAAATGCAGAAGCGATGGTTTCAAAAAGCTTCGAAGGCTTCAAAGGTGAAAGTTCTTGCCCCCCTCTTCTCTCCCCCTGACCCTGTCTCTCTCTTTCTCTCTATCTCCTCATTTTTCTCTCAAGGTGGTACGGGAATGCTGAATGAGATGAAGGCAGCCCCTGGAGGCACCTGCCCGCACAAACAAACGAGCATCATCTTCTAAAAAATTCGCAGAAGGAGATAGGGAATGAGACAACGCCAGGCATGGAGGGAAGCATAGACCGTGGGCCGTTCGTGGTTTTCCCCTTATCTCTTTTTCTGTTTAGACAAGAACATAGGAGAGAAGGGGGGTTTACACCTGCTTCTCACCATGCTCCTCACTCTTCTCTCTTCCCCACCAGACAGCGAGAGAGAGAAAGAGAGATAGTGTGAGAGAGACCGAGAAAGAAAGAGCGAGAGCACGAGCGACGGGGCGAAGAGAAGAGGGAGGAGCAAGGTAGAAAGCAGGTGTAATCTCCTCCTCTGCCTTGTCTTTTCTGTTTCTCTTTAGCAAGAAAGAAACACGGTCTATGCTTCTCTCAATGTCTCGCCTTGTCTCCTTCCCCCCTCTCCTTCTTCAAATCTCTCTCTTGGTAGTTCTTCCTTTTCATTCCTCTCACCCTCCTCCTCCCCTACCAGTCCTACGAGACATACGAGACAGAGAGAGAGAGAGAGAGAGAGAGAGAGAGAGAGAGAGAGAGAGAGAGAGAGAGAGAGAGAGAGAGAGAGAGAGAGAGAGAGAGAGAGAGAGAGAGAGAGAGAGAGAGAGAGCTTGCAGCGTGGAGGTGGGGGCAGGGAAAACCCTTGCTGTTGCTCTCAACCGCTAAAAAAAAGAGCCCGCGAGGGGTTTCTTTTCTTATCTGAGTGGTATGTCTTGTAAAGTTGGAAGAGGAGGAGGAGGAGGTTGTCAGAATTAACGGAAGAACTGCAAAGAAATACATTTGCTGAAGCAGAGAGAAAGTGAGATTGCTGAAAAGCAAAAGAAAAGAGAGAAAAGGAACTTACATGTTCGCTCTACCTTGGTTCTTATCCCTGAGGCCAGCATAGTAGGACGGACGTGACAGGAGCGTGCCCTCGTGGAAACGTGCATGGCAATAAGAAAACCCGAGTGCCAGCTTCCAAATGAACCCTATGAAGGTCTGAAGGCTTCAAAGGCTTCGAAGGGTGGAGGACGAAGGGGGCTTCGAAGGCTTCGAAGGCAAGGAAGAGGGGGAAGGGGCTTTCGAAGGCTTCGAAGGTAAGGATGAAGAGGGCTTGGAGCGAGGACAAAGAGGGGAAGGGCTTTGAAGGCTTGGAAGGTGAGAGACGGGTCCGGAGTCTTACGGCTGCTCCCCGCTCCAACTCTTGTCTCTACTCCTCTGATCAATAAAACAAAAAAAACAAAAAGAAGATTTTAAGAAGTCCTTCTTCTTAAAGTTTTTCAAGCTTAAAACTTGTCCAAAACGTATTGCCCAAAAAAAACTTTCGCCCGCGCAAAAAAACAAACAAACAACCAAAGCAAAGACGTTCGACAACAAAGTTAAGCTTCTCTTCAGCGTTCGGAACTGTTTACTCAATGAGCATGTGGAGAGGTGAGACAGGAAGACACAAGAAGCATTGACCGTGAGAACAGAAAGAGTCTCTAGCTTCCCTCTTCAGTCCAGCTGAGTTGTTCGTGGAAAGAGAAAAAGAGTTTTTGAAGGCTTTTGAAGGCAACGAGGTCAGACGGCATGCCCAAGAGAGCGCAAGGCAGGCACGTTGCCGCGCATGCCAGGAAGGAAAGCATCAAGTCTCCGCCGCAGCCAAGGAGCACGATCAGGACGTGCATCCTGCCGATGTCTTTTCTCAGGCTTGCAATCAGCAGAAACATGGTGAAACACAGAGCACCGCCGCACCAGCCATTAGGAAGTTCAAAGCTGCAGTCTCAGCTGCAGGCGGGTCACACACATGCTGTTGGCCCCCAGTGTCTTTTGCTTGGTGGAGTGCCTTGCATTCTGCAATTGGCCGGTCGCGGAGACAGGTCTTTTGTACTAGCGGATGCCCAAGACAGGATTGCAGATCCTGGCATGTCCGTACGGAGGGCCTTTTTTTCCGAAGCACATGTTCTTTTGAAGATGCAGTGACTGTTCCACCTGTCTAACCTGAAAGCTCTGAGTTGACTTGGCATCCGAGACTGAAAGGGACACACAGGTGCAGCAAGCACTGACCCGTCAGGACACTGCGATGCGGCAATGTTGCCTGTGACGTGGGTGCCCCTTCACCTTTAAGGAAATCTTCAAGGAAATCTCTTGGTCCAGGGTAGTTCCGATGACGGTCGCCGCCCGCCAGCTGTTCAAGGGGGTTCGGTCTCACGATCACATATCAGCAACAGCTCTCGAAAAATCCTCAGAATTTAAATTCCGGGAATTTTCGGGATCCTCCGGGTTCAGGGTTTTACGCTTTACGGTGTAGGGTTTTCGGGTTGAGGATACGCAAACATGGCGGCTGCACCCCATTCAAGTTGAGGATAAGGACCTGGCCCCCATGCAGGTTGAGGATAAGGACCTGGCCCCCATGCAGGTTGAGGATACGCAAACATGGCGGCTGCACCCCCATTCAGGTTGAGAATAAGGACCTGGCCCCCATGCAGGTTGAGCATAAGGACCTGGCCTCCATTCGGGTTGAGGATACGCAAACATGGCGGCTGCACCCCATTCAAGTTGAGGATAAGGACCTGGCCCCCATGCAGGTTGAGAATAAGGACCTGGCCTCCATTCGGGTTGAGGACACGCAAACATGGCGGCTGCACCCCATTCAAGTTGAGGATAAGGACCTGGCCCCCATGCAGGTTGAGGATAAGGACCTGGCCTCCATTCGGGTTGAGGATACGCAAACATGGCTGCACCCCCATTCAGGTTGAGGATAAGGACCTGGCTCCCATGGCCCCCATTCAGGTTGAGGATAAGCAAGCGGGGCGGCTGCCTGAGCGGTTCTGCACTAACCGAAGCAAAAGCACAAATCTCCGAGGGCGGGAGGGCGCACCTGGCACACGAAAAGCGCAACGATCTTCATGGTGAAGCTGCTTTTTGTCCAGTCTGAGCTGTCTGGCAGCTGCTAAGACCCTTGCATTGATTTGCGCTTGTCTGCACCTGCATTGCAGCCACAAACAAGCGGCCGCTAAGGTATGCAAGCACCTCGGAATTGCTGGCTTGGTGCTTTCTTGAACCTTGCGCGGGCTCAAAGTTAGGATCAGAGCTTCCCGAACCCACCGCGGATGGAATCTTGCCTCTGCGGGCTGCTTCCGCAGCTGCGAGACGCGGAGCACGCGGGTGCCGACGTCTCTTGGTCACGGACAGTTGAATTTTCTGTCCATCCCGCACTTCCCTACCTAACTCCATTGGCATGGTTTGTGCGTCGGAGGATCAACTGGAGGCCAATGGGGGGTTGGTGATCTCTACCCGGATGCCCCTGATGCATCGCGCCCGCAACCTCCTGCCTTCGGCATTCCGCGCACTGCTGTTGAAGCTGTGGACATCGCATCGTGCGTGCGGCATTGGCCCGTGTGTTTACGAGACTTATCCTCCCCAGTGGAGTGCCCACTCCATTGCCTGGCATGCCTGTTGACGTAACCCTGGACAAAGTCCATCATTTGCAGCGCCTTCGGAACACCCCCCCCGAACGCCAACAGGCATTCTGACTTTGTGTTTGCTTGGGCCATGGAAACGGGCCAACCTTGAGGATAGCCGCCCGAGCCACAGATTGCCTTTGGCTCCTCTCCTGTGGGGCAGGTGAAAGAAGTCAAAACCTGGGGACAAGGTTCTTATGAGCAGGGCTTCCTTCCCCTCCTGTTAGGCTATGGCAGTTCACAAACCCGAATGGCGATTTTGCCAGGCGCATTGGCGCCTGGCTTGACGGCAGTGGGCACTGTGGCACGTTTGACGGTTGCTTGCTTCGGGTCGTGATGCTGCTCGAGGGCTCAACTGCTTCTGATGCCATGGCGAAGAACTGGTAGCCAAGCATATCAACAAGGCGCTCGAGCGGCAGGAGGGAAAGCCACATGTCCAGCACAAGTTTCATCGTGGGACCAAGCTCGGGTCGTGGCAAGTCAGTCAAGTGAGGCTTGGCGGCGGGTGCTGATAGGCCGGAAATCCGAAAGCTGCAAGGGCCTGGTGCACTCGCAGCGCTAGGGCGTCATCCCAGTACAGGCTGAGGCCCAGAGACGTGGCCTGCGTGTCGGCAGCGAAAAGTGCCCAAGGCACATCCGCCTGGGCAAAGTACGAGTGCGCTGCAGCAGTCAGAATGGCTAACGGCCCTTTTGGGGTGTTTGGCCGGCTGCGCCACTTGGGCGAGGCTCCACAGGAGGACAAGGCTTCTCTTTTCCAATACATAAGGACCCCAGCAAAAAGCTGGATCCGAACTGGTCCGTTGCCCTTTCCCCCCACAGCGGCCCATAGAGGAACCGCGTCACCGTTTCCCAAATGGCCTCTGGCAGGGTGGGCATCCGGTGCACCTGTCCCATAGCCGCAAAACACTCTTCCTTTTGGCACCATATCCATGAGCAAACGGGGGGCACAGCTTCGGCAAAACGATTCGCCATGAACAGGTCTGGCCTGGCCGATCGGCTTACTTCATCGGGTCTATCCGAGGGCAACTGTCATCTTTCTCACACCAGACTTGGCAGGAGTTCCTGAAAGGCGCCGAATGTGGTTTGCTGTCGCCGGCAAAGTACCCGCCAAGGGCACTGCGCTGCTGGTCACTCTGAGCGAAGGCAGTCGTGACACGACCTACCTGGTGTGTTCATTGAGCTCACCGCCCCTAAAAAGCTTCGTATCAATGCTGGCGAGACCAAGGCAATGCAGCCCGTAAACCTAACAATTGCCCTGCTACTGTCGGATGATCAGCACAACCACTTGGTGAATCAACATACCTTGCCCAGTCTCCCTGGCGGAGCTTCCACCCCGCTTTGGGATGCGTTGCTGCACATGCCTAGGGAGCGACAGCATGTCTCTCTTGGAGTACCGCTGGCGGACTCCCCATTGGAAGCGATTCGCCAGCCGTATTGGCTGCCGAACTTTCTCACGGACCTTGTGCTTGTTCTGCTCACCGGATTGGTTGTCCAAGGGCATTGGCATGACTCCGTGGGCCCATCTTATCCACCCTGTAGTCTGTCAGGTTCTCAGGGGAAGGCATGGCACGCAAGTCAGCCCTGCCTCTCGTCTTAGGGGATAGGCTATGACGATCCTCTAAGTAGCCTCCTAGCAAGCTGGCTAGAGGAGGACAAAGTCTATGCTAAAGAATGGACTCCGCAGTTGCTGACCGGACTTCTAGATACCCTGCCTGTTGCACCGCTGCCCAGCCAAGAGGACGCCCGAACTCCTGCGCTGTGGCATGCGGAACGTTTAAGCCTCAGCCCGAACTCCTTAAGCAATGAGCGAACCGAGCCAGTGTCTTTGCACTTGCGGCGGGGCCGTCCTTCCTCTCGTGTCTTTGTGACACTTTTTGGGGGGCGGACGGGCATCTTGCGGCGTTGATTGGAACCTGCTCTTACGGTTTGGGTGCCAATCGCTCCTCTGTCTTTGTTACTGGTGCCCCCGGCAGCGGCAAAACACGTTCGTGTGCGTTCCTGGGAATACTTGTTGCTTGCCTGACCAACAGACTCACCCTCTACACCGCACATGGCAACGAGTCAGTGCGAGCCTACATCGAAGCCGTTGATCGGTTAACCGCTGCAAGCCATGATTTCGTCCGCAGTCGCTTCATTCGCGTCCCGGCCAGTAAGGAAAAGGATACCTACAAGCTTCCCTTCGACGCACATGATGCGTTCCGGGGATTGCTAGTGGCAGCGACACATGGGACTATAGTTGCTCGGCTCAGCTTCCCATACTCGGTGCTCATTAACAGGTTGAAGGATGTAGAGCTTCTGCTCAGGGACGAAGCACAGCAGCTGGGCACACCCGGCTCCAACACCATTCTAGCTCACATTCGACACGCACTGGATGTCATGATTGGAGATCACAGGCAGCCGGCGGGAGGATCCCGACCGAATTACCACTATGTGACGGAGCTCCTGGAGCAAAAAACCTGCGGCCTCAATGCCGTCCCAGCTGACCTGTATACGCCTGCCACGCTCCCAGCAGCACTGTTAAGGCAAACGCTTAATAGCCCCGGACCGTGGAAAAAAGGACAAGGAGATATGCCTTCCTGGGGCAAACCCAATTTGCACCCTGACTGTACGGAGTCTGGGTTTTTGGCCAATTCCATGCTGGAAGCCATCCTCTGCCTGAGCTGTGTTAAGCCAAAGCAGGCCGAAACGGTCATGCAAGCTGCGGGACTAAAGGCTATTGTGGGTCCAGCCATCAATCTGTCGCTTTGCTCCTCCATGCCCCTCCCCCCGGAAATTTCTGCTGTCTTGTACGCCTGCCGATACTCGGAGGCCTGCACTTTCGAGTTGAGGGGACAGGTTCCCTGTCTTCGCATGCCACCAGGCCCCAATTTGCAACATCTGCTTGCGAGACCGCTACGCAGCCCTGCTGGCAGGTGGATGGAGACGTGTCGATGGGTCCGCGTGCCTGACCAGGACGAGAGTCAAAGCAAACTGGGCAGCAGTTACGACCTCAGCTGGTACATTGTACTCACCTTTGGACACCAGGTTTTCGCCGGAGCGCCCATTGGGCTGGTCTCCCAGTATGCCAAAATCGTGGTCCAAATGAAGTTTCTGTTGCGTTCAGTGTCCCAGAAGACCAGCTGGGTGAAGTTCATATGAGCCTCATGGAGGCATGTCAAACTTCAAAGGACTTTCCTCTGACGGGACAGCCACGCTCATGGAACATGGTAGTCTTTAGGACTTTCCTCTCAAACAAGCTGGGGGCCTCAAAACGTTACTTCATGGCCATCACCACGGCCTGCTCCACTGGCCCCACCTTCAGCGTCTGTGTTTTTGTTACCTGCCGGGCCTCCCTCTTTCTGTTCAATAGCGAGGCTGGTTTCGCCCGAGCCACCTCCTCCTTCACTCGCGGGTTAGGACCGCTGGTCTTTATGGCGCCGTACTACCCCGATGGCATTGGCGCGTGCTTTCAAAGGGCGGCCTGTTCCACAGGAGGGCTGATTGAGTGTGCCGAATACCTACGTACACAGGCCAGCCTTTGGAGCCTTGATGGCCAGGGCATTGCGAAGGAGTCGACTAAGCAGGCCTTTCGGGAGCAAAGGGTGGCGAGCATTGTGCTGCCCACGGATCGCAGGGTCGGGCTGGATCTGTTTGGAACGCCACCCCTTGCCCAGGCGTGGGCGCTGAAGGCTACTTGGGGCGAGGAGCGCGTGGTCATGTACCGCGTGCTCAAGTCTGAAGGCTGGGGCCGTCCCCCCTACTACACATCCAACTCCTACTCAGGCACTGTGACCAGCTTGCAGGCGCGGGGATTTGTTCTGGAACCGCTGCCCAATGCGGTCTACTGCGTCCCCTTTCAATCCGCGCGCGACTGCGACGGTGTTGCTAAGTATCTTACCCACCTGCTGGGGGATGCCAAAATTCTGACGCCGCCACGGAAGGGACCTGCTCCTCGAGTGGATCCGTCCTTTGAGCACAAAGCGGGCATACAGCAAGCTCCACAAGGCCTTCGGGCTGGCCAACTCAATTCTGAAACGGCCATCGAAGTGGACTCTCCCGGAAACAGCCCTGTGCCCGCGGGAAGTGCCAGTACACCCGCCACCTGGCGTCCGCCCCCCGCCTGGCCCCAAAGCTCGACCAGTGCGGGCAGCTTCTTCCGAGCGGGGAGGGACCAGAGATGCGTCGAGATCGCCCTGTGCCAAGCCTCCCAGTGAGCGGACAGGGCCAACCCATGAACCCCCTACGCCCCCCCGTGGCCTGACCCAGCTGGGGCGTCTACTGGTCTCCCCTGGCTGCAAAGAAAGTCGGCCCCTTCTGCATGACAATACCGGCTCCCAGGAGCCGCCCAGGTCCAAGCCAAGGGGGCCTGGCGAACCAAGCAGCGCTCGTGATCGCAGGACTCCGAGCAATGAGTCTCCTCTCCATGAAAGTGAAGATTCTGTTTGCGGGCTCATGTGGCGTGCACTCGAGGCGGGGCATCATTTTGGGAGGAGCGTGAAGCCCAGGCCCTACATGTGCTTGCGTGATTCAACTCATTTGACGACGCATGGGCAGCAACTTCGCGCGTATAGGACCTATGAAGAGTTGCTGCTGCGCCTGCCACACCAGCTCCAGGAACCGGACACCCTATTGGGCATTGCAGACACCCTTCTCCACCTGCCTGAGACCTTCCCGGCGGCTTATCTGAAAGTCTATGACCCCATCATCACGCAATGCTTGCGACTCTCAGGGGCGCTACAGCACATTGATTTGGCGGACATACTATCATTCCAGATACCACAGCTGGATAAAACCAGGCTGTCGGACTCTTTGGTGGGGTACGGATTTCTGACCACTGCCCAGTTGATGAACTTTTACGTTATCCCCTTGTATATTGTAGTGCTTTGACACGTCTTTCATGTTTTGCTACGAGTGCATTGCATGAGCCGAACGACGCGATATTCAGGCCCAAATTTGTGTGGAAAAGACCGTTCGTTTTTACATGGTAGCGGAGCTCTGGAAAGCCAGACTCCGAAACACGTGTCCTCGGCGGTTTGAGTTCAGGGACCACCTTTGCTTTGTTGGCAGGCTTTACGGGAAGAGCCAACCACGACTACTGCTGCAAGCCTTGAGGCTGTCAAAGACAAACTTGGAGAGTTTTACAGAGAGCAGCTGTTTCTTCGGGTGAAGCCTGAAAACCGAAGGCAAGCGAGCTGGGAGAAGCAGTTGTCTGTGGTCGAGGAAGCATTTGAACTTCGCTTGGAAAAGTTTTCGACAGTCGAAGAAGTGCTTGCATTCTTGCATTTGGTGGTAAGTGCTTGAAGAACGAGAACCTTCGCGAATCTTTTACCTGGTTTGGTTTCGAGGCTGCCGAAGAGCAGTCGTTGAGCTGGGCAGCGCAAGTTGCTTTCGTGCACCTGCAGCAGGAGCACGAGAACCTGGATCGAGACCTGTCTGTGGGGTCTATCACTTCAGAGCCCAATACGCCAGGACACTCTCGGGTGTTCAACTGCAGTCGGCAGCGAGCCCCATCGACCTCGATCAGGACGAGCCAGAGTACCCCTTACAAAGCCGAAATCCTGACTGTGTGAGATCGCATCTTTCACTGTTCGAACATGGCAGATCAGCTTCCAGTTATTGATGACGATGATGATGATGAGCTACAAGAGAATGGAGCCGGTCCCTCGCAGCATCAAGGAAATCCTTTTTCGCCGTCAAGCCAAGCTCAAGGATCTCCAGGTGTTTACGTAACTGTGGACGATTTGAGGATGATGATGCAGCAGATGACCGCGGCTACAAAGGCTGCGAGCGATGCTGCAATGGCTGCAGTACAGGCCAGCTCTTCGAAGGCTGCACTTGGGTCGAGTGAGATGAGCAGGATTCTTCCGCGTCCCGATACGTTCAAGCCGACAACAAGAGAGGAGGAGCACTCCCAGTGGTTGCAGTGGGTGTGGTCACTCAAACAATATGTGGTGGCACTGGACACGGCCTACTCCGAGGACCTGAAGAAGATCGAACAGTTTCCGACTGCAGAGATTGGATGGATAAGCGATCCTGAAGCCTTGAAGAGAAGTCAACGCATGTATGCGTTGCTCTCAGGGCTGGTGCGCGGCAGGGGGCTCCAAGTGATCCAGCGTGTTCCATCGCAGAACGGCTACGAGGCTTTGAGACAGCTGATGCAGCTCTTTCAGCCGTCGAGCCGTGCAAGATCGCTTGGAATCCTCACGGCCCTCACTCAGACGCACCCGTTTCGCACCAACGAGCCGTTTCTTGCCCAGCTGCTGGATCTTGAGAGGGTGATGGAGGAATACGAGCGTTCATCTGGCAAGAAGCTGGAGGAGGACCTCAAAACCTCGACCCTCCTCAAGAGCATCTCAGGAGGGATGCGGAACCACCTGTCCACCGTCCTGACGGAGACCTCCTCCTACGACGAGATCAGAGAGGCAGCCCTTCGTTTGAGCGCATGCAGTTCAAGTGGAGCCCTTCGAACCTTTTCAGCACCGAGTCTTCGTATGCGCAAAAGAAGTCCCACGAGCAGGAACCGCAGCCAATGGACATCGGTCAAGTTAAGGGTGGTCCTAAAGGGTACAAAGGTGGCAAAGGTCCTAAGGGTCCTAAGGGTTCAAAAGGTCCAAAAGGCAATGACAGCAAGGGCAAGTGTGGCAAGGCTGGAGGCAAAGAGTCTAAAGGTTATTCTCAGAGCTACAACAATGCCAAAGGCGACAGGAATCCAGGCAAAGGTGGCAAGGGTGATAGGAAAGGCAAGAACAATGCACCGAAGGGGGGCAATCTGTCCTCCAACACCACATGCCACAACTGTGGCCGTCCTGGCCACTATGCAAGAGACTGCTGGCGCCCTCGTGTCAACCAGGTTGAGCAGTCCCAAGGCCAGCCTGGCCCACAGCCTTCCGGAGCTTCTGTGAGCGGCACCTCCACCAGTGCCGGCCCTTCATATAGCAGTGCCCCGAGCCAAGCCTCCACAGCCGTGCGTCGTGTCATTGCCGAGCCTTTTGTGATGGACATGAGCCAGCTTGACCTGTCAGGTGATGACCCTTTCGTGCGAATGATTCATGCACAGCATTTCCGATTGGATGCCACAGATGGCGACTCAGACTGGGAAGTGATTGGGTGTTCGAACACAACCCAAGAACAGCATGTGCGAGCGCTGACCCAAATCAGCAACACCTGTTCAGTGATCATCGACTCTGGAGCTGACGTTTCTTGCATCCCCTTGAGCTTTGCATCTTGTGGAGTCAGTTCCCCTGGAGATTGCGTGATGCATGTGCGTGATGCTCAGGGTGGCAGCATGCAGGTGAGGGATGAGCGCATTGTCGATTTCGTTTTGCAAAGCCCAAGCCATGGACATGTTACCATCCGTGAGAGATGCATAGTCGCAGACGTAATGCAGCCGCTGATAAGCATGGGTCGATTGATCAAGCAAGGTTGGTTTCCGTGCCAAAATGCTCAGGGCTTCTGGCTGAACCACGATGCTTCAGGAGCTGATGTTCCTATGTCATTTCGAGGCATGAGCCTTGGAGTGGATGCTGAAATCCGTCGCGTCGAGAAGGCCGAGGTCCCAGTTTCTCAGGTGCAAGCATGCGATCCACAGAGTTCCCACGTCCAGTCGAAAGGTCCTCAGGTGCAAGCATGCGATCCACAGAGTTCCCACGTCCAGTCGAAAGGTCCTCAGGTGCAAGCATGCGATCCGCAGAGTTCCCACGTCCAGTCGAAAGGTCCACAAATTCTGATCAACATTTTCTCCCGTACCGTGAACCATATTTTGCTTGAACAGAATGTGACTTTTGGACCTTGTAGGAGTAGCATCTTGAAATGAGATCGTGATGCGACATTCAGGCTCAGAATCGAGTTGCAAAAGATCGTGAGTTGGTTCATGGTAGCGGAGCTTGGCCGACCAAGCTTCGAGACACGTTCTTCGGTTGAGTTCAGGGGCCCAGGCGTTGAGCTTGCTTCTGTGGTTTGAGGGTTGTGGTCTAGGATAGGTGCCCGTAGCTTGCAGTTCCCGCAGCCTTGCGGAAGAGCCATATTGTGTTCGAACAGGCAGCTTCGGAGCCACGACCTCTGCACTGGGGGTAGAGCTGCTGCGAGAGCACCTCTTGAGTGTGTATCAGGAACAACTGTTTTCCAGACCTAAGCCAAGCTACAGGAGCGAAGAGTCCTTCTACCGTATCCTTGAAACCAGCTACCGAGCCTGCGAAGCCCGCCTTGCAACTTTGTTTTCCGCAAACGACGTCTTTCAATTTGCCAGCAAGTGTTTGAGAGAGAAAGAGTGGAAAGAGAAGTTCTTGTGTGGTGGTGCTGAGATCTGCACTTCGCATAGCATCCCGTACAGTGTGCAAGCTGCTTTCGTGCATACGGAAGAGGAGGCACCCGACTTCGAGCGCCATCTGTCCCACGCCTTGGGAATTTTCGATAGTTCCTTGAATCCTCAATCGACCCTTGAAGAGCCCATTGATCTGTGTGCCGAACCGAGCAGTGCATCGAGTGCGGCAGCGTGTGCATTTGCCTGTCCCCTGCAAAGTGAGCCTGCGGACACTGCCATCGACCTTGATTGAGCAGTTATGGCAGATGTAGATGATGATGACAGCTTTAGTGATGTAGGAGGTCAAAGGGGAGCCGAGGGTGGTGGAGCACCGTTGGGGAACCCGTTCTCTCCTGTTGCAGCCTCACCTGCTGCAAATGCCAGTCCTAGGGAAATAGTCCTTGGTGCCGGTGAGTTTCAGAAGATGCTTGACACTTTGCAGATGGCCAGCCAGGCCGTTTTGGCCTCAGCTGCGAAGGCTGGTCCTTCGGAGAGCAAGGGTTCATCATCGACTGCAGGTTTCTCAGACGCCAACCGCATACTCAACAGACCATCGTGTTTTGGGAGCTTGTCTCATGACTATGACCTTTCAGCATGGTTTGATTGGGCACATGCATTCAAAGCATGGCTTTTCTTTGCAGATGCCCGATATGAAGGCGATTTGGAAACCATAGAGCGTAACCTGCAGGTTGAGAACCCCGCTATGCCCCCAGATGTCACCGAAAGGTCTCAGAGGCTTTATGCAATCCTCAGCAGTCTTCTACTTCACAAACCAAAGATCCTTCTCCGGCAAGTCCCCAACCGCAACGGACTGGAGACCTGGCGCCAACTAGTCAACATATACTCCCCTAAGTCAAAAGTGAGGGGACTAGCACTTCTCAACACGATCATGAGCTTCCCAGCATTCAGCAAGGATCGGACGATCCGCGAACAGGTCGACGGTCTCGACCGGGTAGCGCAGGAGTACGAGCGGGTATCGGGCCTTGCCGTATCTCCCGACATCATGCTTGGCACTCTTGTCCGGGTTCTGCCTGCGCACCTCAGAAACCACATACAGCTGCAAATGAACCAGGACACCACGTATGAGATGGTCAAGCAGTTTGTGTTGTCGTATGAAGTCACGACGAGCAGCTGGTCCACCAGCAAAATCCAGCAGAGTTTGGGTGTTGGGAGCAGTCCGCAGGGGCCACCGCCTGGTGGTGACACGGGAGGTCCGATGGATGTTGATCGTGTTTCAAAAGGGAAGGGCAAACATGAGAAGAGCGCCGGGAAAGGAAAGGATCGAAAAGGAAAGGGGATTGGCAGCATGAAAGGCAACAGAATCCCAAAGGAAAGCCGGGTGGAAAGGGCCGCGATGGAGGAAAGAAGGGCAAGGGAGGCAATCAACATCCCAATCAGGCAAAGGCTGGGCAGCAGAAAGAAACTCGTTCGTGCCACATTTGCAAGAAGCCAGGACATCTTGCGAAAGACTGTTGGCAGGCGAAGGGCGGAAAGAGCCGAGGCAAACACGTGAATCAGGTTGCCGACACTGCCAGTGCACAGCATGACACAGTTTCAAGCGGTGCCAGCAATGTTGGAGCCTCATCGAGCGTTTCTGGCGCTGTGAGGCAAGTGCAAGTTTTCGAGCTTGGAGGCGAGCCGTGTGACGTCGCCAGCTGGTTCGCAGGAGGACATGTGCGTGCTGTGACATGTGCCGATGCAAGCTTGAAGCCCCGGACGATCCAGTGCCCCACAGGTGTAGAGACCTTAGCAAGCCCGAGCGTTGCCTGTGTAGATGTTGAGTGCTTGAGCAGCCCTGGATTCGAGTGCGTTGCAGCTCTCAGCATAGTGCTGAGCAAGCTTGAAGCCCGGGACGATCCAGTCCCCACAGGTGGTCCTTTATGTGATGTGTGCAGCGTGTCCGAGTGTCATCATAATGACCTGTGCTGCATCGTTGAGTGTCCCCGGCAAGACCTGAAAGGTGAGTCCCAGGGCCCCAGTTCCGCAGAGGCGGAATCTCGGGTTTTTCCTGAAAAACCGACAATTCAGCCTGGGGCGGCGGAATCTCGGGTTTTGCCTGCAAAACCGACAATTCCGCCTGAGGCTCCCCAGCTGAGAGCCCAACAGGAAAGTTTGCACCTGAGTCTGTCCGAGCAAGGAGGACCTGAGACTTTCGACATGTCCCAGAGTGATGCGAAAGGTCTGTGGAGTTACAGCGCCGATGTGCACAGCTTGAGTTGGGATCCATGCATGGAGTCCTCGTGCTTTGTGTGTGCTGTGCAATCGCTTGACACAGTGCCATCGGAAGCTGAGATGACTGATGTCATACTGGACTCAGGAGCCGATGTGAGCTGCCTTCCACTGTCCTATGGGCAATATGGCTCCAGCCATGGTTCAGCCAGTTTGGGTCTGCGTGATGCACAGGGTGAGTCGTTGGCGGTGCAGGATCTCAGAGAGGTCTCGTTCATCGTACATGATGAGACAGGTGAACCTGTCATCTGGAAGGAAGTGTGCGCCATTGCTCCAGTGACTCAGCCCTTGTTGTGCAAAGGCAAGCTTATGCGTTCAGGTTGGTGGCCGAAACGAGAGCCCTACATGTGCATGGAGCATGAGAGTGGAGTGAAAGTCCCAATGAGCTTCCGGGGGAACTCGTTGTGTGTTCGTGCGTCCATCTTTCGTGTTGGTGGGCAAGAGGTCACTCCAGCTCCTCCTCCCGAGAACAATCACGTCAGGTTCGTGCAAGCTCAGGTGGATGCCAGCAGGGCTGAGGCAACATATGGGTGGCAAATGACGGAACAAGGCCAGATGCTGTATCGTGGCCGAGGCAAGCACTTCGTTGACCCTTCGCTTGTTGCACCCGTCGGATGTTGGCCCTGTCGCACCACGCTTGTAAAACCATGCAGAACAGGCCAAACTGAGTGGCTGCTGCTTGAGTTCTGTCGTGCATGGGGGGAACTGGGTGATCCGGTGGCTGAGCTTCCCAATGGTGAGTGCGAAATCATCTGCATGTTGAGCTCTGGACATGAAGCCCCGGAAGACATGAAGTTTGTCCCGAATCGACGCCTTGATCACTTCATCAACTGGAGCGGTTTGCAACCTTATGTCGAGCCAGACCCTGAGGGATCCGACTATGAGATGAGTGAGTTGGGTCCCGATGATGCCGAGCCCGGAGCGGTCTCCGTTGAACCATCGATTGAGCCCATACCTGATGTTGAAGTGATCCCGGTTGAGTCTGAGGAGGCACGCGGTGGCCGAAGCACACTTGTGTTTGATGGTGTCGAGCTGTCGTTGCAGTCAACCTTGTCTGTCATCCGGGCAGCTTGCAAGTCCGCTGGTGTCTCTGTCTCAGGCAGCAAGCAAAGATGCCTCGACCGGTTGCGTGGCTACATCGACAAACAGAACATCGCCTTGAGAAGTGAGGTTGCTCAGACAGTTGAGAGTGAAGGCATGAGAGTGGCTGAAGGCCAGAGGCTCATCAAGGAACCCTCCGAAGCCGAGAGGCGTCTACATGAGCTTACGCACTGGCCATACATGCCTTGGTGCAGCCACTGCTTGAGCATGAGAGGTCTTGAGGACAAGCATGTGAAGATTCCCTTGAGTCCCGATCGTGCAACCCCTGTCGTGAGCTTTGACTACTGCTACACGGGTGTGAGCAGTGAGCAGCCGAGTGGTCATGAACGCAAGTTGACCGTCCTTGTTGCCCATGATACTGGAACAGGTTCGTTGCTAGGTTTGCCGGTTGCCAGCAAAGGAAAGGAGGACTTGAGGTTCACTGCCGTTGAGCTCACGAGGTTCATCCAGAACCTAGGGCACAACTCCGTGTGTCTTCAGACAGACAACGAGCCATCTACCCTGGCCTTGCAAGACCTCATCGTGGGTGTGCGTACCCGTCTTGGATTTCAGACCCTGATCCGAAATGCCCCAGTGGATTCGCACGCAAGCAAAGGACATGTTGAGAAAGCTGTCGACTTAATCAGAGGATTGTCCAATGTCCTGTTGGATCAAGTTCGAGCCCGATATGACCTTGCCGCTGAAGCCATCGGACCTGAGCATCCGTTGATGGCATGGAGCTATGTGCATGCAAGTTACATCCTGAACAGGTTCGGTGTGCATGGCGGGGCAACCGCCTTCGAGCGCTGCACGGGGTACCGGTTTTCGGGTAAGTTAGCCATGTTCGGGGAGCCCGTTTGGGGTTTTAGGCGAGGAAAGGCCAAGGGTGATCGCAAGTGGCACCGCGCAGTGTTCTTGACCAAAACCACCAGCAATGACATGCATGTCCTGATGAGTGCACAGGGAGTGTGGACAACCCGGTCCATTCGCCGAAACGCCAAGCCTTGGGTTGAGGAAAAGAATCTGGTTCTAGAGGGTAAGGGTTTCCCCTGGAATTACCAGTTAGGGGTTTTAGGTAATAAGACCTTTCCCCAACCTAAGCACCGCGTGGCAAAGCCTGCCGAGGAGGCAAAACCTGTGTTCGAGCAGAGTGCATCAGTTGAGCCAATGCCAGATGCACCACGAGCATCAGACATGCCTAGCAT